TGACAATACTTTTTTTGGTTTGTTTAAGAGTTCTGAAGTATTTTTGAGAGGCATCTTGGACGATGAAGAAAGAAATTTTCATAGCAGAGAGGAATTTGTGGGAACCTTAGCAACGTGTCAGGCTCCAAAGTATTTAGATCAGAATGGTCTTGTCAAAACCAGTAAAACTCTAACTCACTTCTTTAAAGTCAGAGGCTGTTTGGGGTTAAAGTGCCAATGTAAAAAATGAAACAAATGGTATTTTTGAAATATGTTCATTAAGTAAAAATAAATAGCTTAAGGTTAGAGTTCTAAAAGCAAAATTTAATAAATTAATATATGCATGCCAGATAAAAATACAAAATTACAATTGAAATAGCAATAATAATAAAGGAACACTGTTCAGTATTGCAGATTTCACTGCAACCACCATAAACATCATGGAGAATTGCTTAAAGTAACACTTAAAGTACAACTTTGTTTCTGTTAAAAACAAATTACTATATGATGAAAAAATGGAAAGAAACCCAAGAAGAAATCAGCCCCAAAAGTGGAAGAGAATATGAAATGTCAATAAATGGCCATAGGCTCCATTTCACATAAGTCTGCCTTCTTTTTAGTATCAGAAACCAATTACATAGAACAAAAAAGCAAATTCACAACAGGTTTACACGGAGAAACATGCTGAATTACAATCACAAACTATCCAGAACAAAGATGCTGCACCAGTTCAGTTGTTTTCTTCATGGAATGAGTCTCACCAGAACAGGGAGAACAGGGAGCAAATCATGCAATAGCTTTAGGCTTTTTGTTTTTTATTTTAACATGATAAACACCCAGGATTACTAGTACTGGAAAGTATGTGTTAAACTTTTTCAACATCAGCTGAATGGCACTACAGAAATGACAAAGAGTTCCTTCATTTTTATCTTGAATACATCGAAAGCCCTAGCAAATATGGAATTCAGCGACAAGAGCCATTAAATTACTTTAAAATATTCCTTCATCCATAGAACACTGTTGCTTCCTTTTTTTATTACAAAACCCCCAAAATATTCAAAATAAAATGTCTTCATTTTTTATAAGCATCTCCACCACAAGTCTCTGATAACGGATGTCATTCAACGCAGCCATCGCATCCAGCTCTGGCGCTCTCATAAGAGTTGGTCCAAAAACTATGCCCAGGTTCTCTGCACTCATCAGATTTTCCTTTTCATGGAGTGTTACTCTGAAAAAAAAAAGAAGAGACAATGATTTTCATATTTCTTCTGGGCCAAACTATGCTTGGACATGTTGAAAACCAGGGAAACTGGACAGAAATGTGTTCCTTGCCCCAAAGCCTAGGAGAGGCTAGAGAGACTCCAGCAGCACACATATGGGAGTGGCAGGTGAAACACCCAGAAGTAAGTAAAAGCAAATGCTGTGTAGGTTTGTTGTGAGTCAGTGTCTCTGTCCTCCTGCCATGCACACAGACCATGCTCACTCGCACTGCGTGAACAAATCCTTTGGTATACAACAAGTAAGGCCTCAACATTTTTTCTTTTATTTTTCCCTCTCTGCCTTAATTTTTATTTCAGACCAAGTCAGACTGAGGTTACCAAGCTGCTTTGTCTCCAGGCTGTAAATAAATTACCTGAATTCAGCAGCAAGGCAACAGCCTGTCGAGCATGACACCTCCTTTCAGCAAAAGTATTAAAACAGTCTAAACAGAGTGAATTTTGACACCCTTCTACCTTATCATTTACCTATACCAGAAATATGACGTGCAAAAGCAACTTCCTAACTAGAGCAGCAATAGCTGCTCTTGAACAGGGTGAGGAAAAATTAACTTCACAAGCTGTAAGGTGGGTTTTTTTGTTCCTGTGTCTCTCATCTCTGTGTCTGTTCTGAAACATCCATTAGAAATGTCATTGAAATAGATGGACAAATCAGGCAGAAACTCTGGAGCTGAGTTTTGCCTGAGGCACTCAGCAGAGTCAACATATTCCTACTTGTAGAATAACTACAAAAGGAAAAAAGCAGAAGAGAGTTTAAAATAAAGTATTTTTCTAAAGAAAGGGAATGATTCTTATATATTGACAATAGGTTCATGCTACTCAAGAAACTAAAATGGATACTCTAACATGCAACACTGTTTTTTCCCCTGCTTTCCTGAAAGAAATAGAACCTGTGCTGTTGTACTGGATATTCATCCATCAGACTCTCTTTAACAATTTTTTAGCCTACTAACCAACTTCAGTCATGTCTTGGGGAGCAGGAGAATTCTCAGACAGAACTTATGCCCCTAGAGTTTTGAGAAGGCAGCAGGTGGAACAAGAAGCTCCTCAGTGCTGGACCAGAGCTCACTGGCTGGAGGGACAGTTAACATTGTGCCTAATCAGACTTCACGGAGAAAGACACCATCTATAGCCATTAAACTGTGTTAGTCCCTTGCCCAGGGAGTGACTTGTCACTCCCAGAGGTATGAATGGCTTTTTTAACCAAAAATATTCACTGTAACCTTAAATACAGAGCAAATTTGTTAGGCAGATGACTTTTGTCCTTCAAAACTGTGGGGTTTGTTTACTTATTTCCTGTAAGTGCTTTGCAATTGCTTTAACAGGGATAAACACCTGAGTTTGGCAATTTGGTATTATGCACACCACCACTCCCCACCACAGTCCATCTCCAGGATTTGGTGGGCTTTTCTTAGGCTTTTCTGGAGGTGTTAACATGGACTTGGCTAAAAATAAGTTTGGCTTGGAGTTCTTTCCAGCTATTCCACCTACCTCTTCAGATGTGCCATGAGATACCGTAACGTTTCACAGTGTGCAGGTGGCAGAAGTTTCAGTGCCTCATGGAGAATTTCCAGCTGTTCATCCGGATCGGTGGTTTCTGAAAGACAGAAGTTCAACTGTCACCACATGTGCAGCCAGAATTCACACACAAAAAGACAGCTGGTGGCCTGCAGAGGAGATAGGGTCTCACAGCTCTGCTGGATTACTCACGGTGGAGGATTTGCCTGACTGAAGAGGTGCTCAGAGCACCATCAGGACGTGACTGGTTTTGGACAAAGAAAACTCCCCAAAGCAAACTGCACTCCACCAAAAGATTCCCTGCAGCATACTAAAAAAATTCCTCTGGCAATCCTTGCTGACTGGACTAGTTTTACACAAATAATCTACAGGTGCAGCTCTGGGAGAGCAGAAGGTACTGGGAACTTTGCCATAAGTGCCTTTGGCTGTCTCCATACTCCTTGGAAAGAGCCTTCTCCAAAGGAGCACTAAGGCTGGCATCCAGCCCTTGCTTTCCACCCATGACTACCTCACACCTTTCCAGGTGTGGCTGGTGTGGCTACTACATTGCCAGGATGTTTGGGAGAGATGTTCCAGCTGGGCTTACTGCTGTGCTTGCAGATCCACTGTCTGCAAGGCCAGCCCTGAAGGTGGCCTTAGGATGGACAACTCCAGAAACAAGTGACATCTTATTTCTAAGCATTTCTGTACATCACCTCCTTTCTGGCAACATAGACCTAACAGACTTTAAATGCCACTGTCAAGTACCAGGGATTCATGCAAGACACACAAGCAATGTAATCTGTAAGGTGTGGTGAAAAGGAAGCATTCCTGGCAACAAAGGCAAAGCAAAATGTAACCATGATCATGTGCAGTGCATATTTACTCCTGCAGTCCTTACTAAACAGGGCATGCAGGGTAAGAGCTGATGGGATAGCTATTAAATGAATAGCAGTACAGCACAAAAGGAAGATGAAAAGGCTGAGAATGAAAACCAGGAACAAAATGTGTTGCACTTACTTGCAGACTCTATAAACTTTGGGTAGGCATCATATGTGATGAGTGGAATTGGCAAATCCCTGAAGTACAGTTTAAGTGCACCAGTGATAATATTGATATCTTCATACATATTCACAGAAATATCAGCTTTTTCCCCATCTGTGTGGAGAAGGCACTGACATTAAAGCCTTGGAAATGTAAACAGATGTAAAACGGCATTCAAAAGAAAAGTAGTAACTTGGTTAAGCAAACATTATTGAAAAGGACATGACTACACGTTTTGGCTTTTACAAGCACAATGAAGTTACTGGACTGTGAAATTCACTGTTTCAGGGTGAAAACCTCGAGCATTTTATAAAGAAACACATCCTTTCTTTGTTTCAAATACTGACCAAAAAATACAGGTTTTTTTTTTTAAGCCTGATCTAGCAGTATCTGTCTGGTATTAATGTGTGGATGTTTAGCTACTTCTGAACACATTGAGCTGCCAAACAACACATTTGTCAGCATTGAATGAGAAATCAGGGAAATATGGGAAAAAAAGTAAAAGTCAGAAAACCAACTTAGTCCACAGCCTCCCTATTTTATAGGAAAAACATGTGTTCACCATTTAGCTACAACACACTACCTACTCCTGACTGCAGCGGACACAGATCCAGAACTTGGCTTCTCCAGCACATCCCCACCCTGCTAATGCTGCAGAGGAGACAGATGTTGTCTGAATAGGTCCAGTCCTCTGGAGAAACAGGAAAGAGAGTTTCCAGCATGGATTTTGGCCTTGTTTTCTACTGGGACAGTAGGAGTGCAGCTGGAAAGTCTTTAATTTCCCCACTGCCTTTTCTCAGGAAGAAGAGTTCGTTCTCTTTTGACCTTCTTTTAGTCTGTAATAATTCAAACTTTGTTTGCACTATTGCATTCATCTTATTATTTTGGAGCTTTCATCCAGAAAGATGGATTTAAGTTGCACAGGCCTCTTAAGGCACTTCAGCACTCGACCTCTATCCCTCCCCCACCCCTCTGAGCATAGTTTTACTTGCAAACTAGGGCAGTAGTTCAGAAAGCTTTGTCCTTTCCTACACACATGGTTACTGGAGCACAGACACTGATGGAAGGAGAAAAGTAGATTTTTGTAATAAAGGCCAAAGTGAAGCTGATATGCTTTTCTGATGGGGAGTCTCCCCTCCTGCTAGCACAGCCGTAGGACTCCTTCAGACCACTGGTGCAGTGGAGCATGAGACAGACAGAGGCTGTGCAGAAAAGCTGTGTATATTTAATACATCAGCACAAAGTTCCAGCACGGAGGAAAGACCATACCTCTGTCAAATGCCATTTTGACATCTTCAATAAGATCACTAAATCCTGAGACTCTGTACAGTCCTTCGGAATTAAGACCTGCAATAAATATTTCAACAAGATTAAAATTAGTCTTGATTTTACTCTTTCCTTCCATGCAGTTCTTCCCTTGCCAGGTTTTTTCATTTAAGGCAGAAGCAGCAGCCATGTTTTAAAAGCCTCATCAGCTTTTTCTTTCAGAATGAAACCTTATCCTGGGTTTTTAACCCTGCCCCTTGTAGTAGCTGCCTTGTTATATCAGCACTGAATTATGTTTACACAAATTATTTCTGAGCTGAAGAAACATATTAAACCAATTAAAACTGATTTAAAAATAACTGAGATTAGCATACTTGATGATCAGTCATTATTTCAGAATGAAAACAAATATGCTAATTCTAGAAAGGGATACTCAGTGTGGGCTGAGGGAAAATATCAATACTAACTGCCTTTGTTTTACCACATTCTCTCACATTTTAAAATAAATATATTACTGGAAAGATAGGCACCAATATAGAACTATAAAGCAGCAACTGTCCATTAAGCAATTTCTAGCAGAATCTATAAAAGTTATAAATGGGTATGAACCATCAAATAATGCAAAGTATAAGATCAGCTGTGCGGGGTAATTGGCAGTCATAAAATGCCTTGTGCAAATCTGTTTTGAGCAATCATACATTCAGCAGAAACCCACATGACCCAGATCAATCTAAAGGGATTATCAGTAAAGCAACAAAAGCCCATTAACAATGCCTTACCTCTAGATTCAATTTCCCTAATGCACATATCTACTACCATTGGTCTCTTAGTGAAGTGTGCTTTGACTAGCGTGGTAAGGTCACAGCTGTACACCTTTTTGACATGCTTCAGGTCTGGCTTGCAGTCATTTGGGACCATCTTGGAACATTGCTTGTGCACATTTAAACCACAATCTGAGGGGAAAATGAAAAGATGATCAGGCTGGTGTTTGGTGAAAACGTATTGCAAGGTCAGTCCTGTGGAGTACCTATGGCTCCCGCAGGATCTGACCTCAGCTCGTCACTGTTACTTCTGTTGAGGGCTCTTAACCATCAAATGGGTGAGGTAGGGACAGCCCGGAATTAAGAAGGATTTTCTACCCAAGATATTCCTTCTACCCCTGGAAGTCCTTAATACAGAGTGCCAAACTTTCCATATGGTTCTTTTGAATCAGGAGCTAGGGTTAAATTATGTTCTCCACCACTATTACGTACATTGCTGTCACAATCTAACTTTCTTGCAAAGTTGCTGGGGATTTCCTAACACTTCCATCTTCAGTGTAGTCCTGGACTTTGGCACTTTAGACATCTCCTGGGGGAGATGAAGGTAGAAACCGGGTTATAACCAGGCTACAACCCCTAAGCCACATGCATTGGCAAGGCAGTGCCAAGACCTGAACCACTTCAGCTGGTTGGTGACTTCTTGCTACTGAACAATTGACAAAGGGCTTTGCTAAGTCGCAGTGGCTGCAATTGATGCTGTTTCACAGTGTTTCTGAAACAGTGTTGTAAGGCACCAAAATGATGGATCCTATTTACTTTAAAATGACAAAACCAAACAACTCAACAGTTTTCCTGTAAATATACTGAGAATGAGATTTAGTTTAAGTGAAACTTAATTGAAATCAGGTTATAGAAAAATATTTGTTCTGCCTAAACGCCACTCAGAACACAATGCTCATGGTTTGAGAAGGAAAAACCTGGGAAACCACCACCTATTGTACAATGAGGATGGGAAAAGCAATACAAAGCCCTTGAAGCTAAGCCCACACTGCAATCAGCACCGTGAGACAGCAGACCTCCAGCACTGCCCCCATGACTCCCTTTTCACTGTCACCTCTCCTGTTCTGCCATGCAGACCTACAGGTGCTTGTCAGGAAATAGCAACCAGCAGCACATCACAGTCAGGGTGGTTGCCATGCTCTGGCACGCTCTTAGTACACACTGTGACTCCAGTTCTGTAAGTGCTTCTGTACCTTGCTGCATTGCCACTCGGAGTCTCCCGGATTTCTGCACGATTAAGGGATGTAGCAGCTTGAAGGATCAATACACTTACGAAATTCTGTACTTTCTTCTCCCACTGCAGTACTGAGTATC